TCATTGCACTGCAATGAATCTGGATGTCCTCAAGATCAGATCAGAGGCTCTGAAAGAGCCAAACACCATTCTCCAGTTGCCGCACTGAGGACTCTGGTCTGGTCTTGTCAGGGATCCCATCCCATCCTCTTCCCCACTAGCGCGAGTTAGTGGTTAGCAACTTAGTGTCAACTGCATGCTTGCTGTTGCTGCCCTACCTACCAGCAACCTTTCTTCTGCCTATCACTGTGCCATGGAGCAAGTGCCTGAGAAAAAACATCATCCTTTGAAGTCTGCTAGAGTCAGAGAAAGCCACACTACTCACAAGTTATTATGAGCTCCTAGCACCATACATTCCTGACAATTCTCACAAGGCCTTGCTGCCCAGTGGTACTACTCCAAGGAATTGATAACGTGCCTACTGAATGCACCACCCTATGAGCCCTACATTCAACAAGCTCCTCCCTTTGAGGAGTGCCAGGATTGCAAAGGAGCACCAAACGGTGCCAAGGAGTGCCCGGGAGTGCTGTGACGAAGAGACTTAGCGAACTATTCAAAGATACGAGTGAAGAGGAGGTAGGAGTCAGGAGTCATCCGAGTCAGGGCCCGTGAGGTGGAGAGGAGTGAAGGGAGATGAAGAAAGGTGAAGAGGCGGTTAGAGTCAGGAGTCGTCAGAATCAGGGCCGGTGTTGAAGGTCTTGATGAGATGCTTGAGTTCGTCCCGCACTGCCGTGTAGCAGAAGCGGTACTGCTCCTGTTGGGTGAGGTGGAGAGGGGTGAAGGAAGGTGGAAAGAGGTAAAGAGGAGTTCAAGTCAGGAGTCATTGGAGTCAGGGCCAGTGTTGAAGGTCTTGATGAGATGCTTGAGCTCATCCTGCACTGCGGTGTAGCAGAAGCGGTACTGCTCCTGTTGGTTGATGAGAGAGAGGTGGAGAGGAGTGAATGGAGGTGAGAAGAGGTGAAGGTCTTGATGAGACGCTTGATGCGGTGAGGTGAAGGCTTTGAGAAGGTGCTTGCCCTGACATCACACCGTTCTTTTCCCTGACATCCCACTCACCTCATGTTGGGTGATGAGAGAGAGGTGGAGAGGAGTGAATGGAGGTGAGAAGAGGTGAAGGTCTTTGATGATATCACACCGTTCTTTACCCAGGGTTCACACTAACATTGGTCACACTCACCTTGGTCACACTCACCTTGGTCACACTCACCTTGGTCACACTCACCTTGGTCACACTCCCCTTGGTCACACTCACCTTGGTCTATGTTGCGGAAGACGCAAGACGCACATTTAGACGCTAGACGCTTGGGCTTAAATTGTTCGGGCAGCCTGGAAAAAAAAAATATGGGAAAAAAGTTATGGTACGGGGAAAATTTCACCCAATTGTGACATATGTGCATGTCCCCCACCCTCCCCATGCCCGACAGAAGTTTTTTTAGGCTGCCCCAACCTTTTTTTGGCCTGCCTGGGCTTTCGTCTAAACCTGCGTCTAACCTGCTCCCCGTGCCGCCCATCTGTGCCTACATGGGACAAATCGTGCATCGGTATGTCAGAGGAAGCTTCCTGGACGGTGCCTGTGGGGAGAATCTGGGGAGCTGTGGATCGGGAGAGAGGAGGCAGGAGAGAAAGGGGTGTGCGACAGGGGAAGGAGAGGAGCAGCCGCAGCAGCAGCAGCAATGCAGGACAGTGCGACAGGGGGAGGAGAAGCAGGAGCAAGAGACGCAGCATGAAGAGCAGAGAGAGCGGGACCTTAGAAAAGGGGAGGAAGAAGATTCACCGTGGGTACCACCGCAGCAGCAACAGGACTCGCACTCCCTGCCGCCACATTCGCTCTCCTCCTCGCCTCTCTTCATCCCCTGTGGCCGGCCGCGGTCCAAGCTGGCGGTGAAGCAGCAGGCGTCAGTGCTGACGAGGCTCAGCCACGGGTACAACTGGCTGCTCAGGGTGAGCCACGTGGACCCACGGTTGATTTTGATTGGTTGATTGGCTGAGAACGGGTGAGGGGTTGAGGGAGCAAGTGGCCGTTCTTCCACCTCAGCCCTTCATCAACTTGCCTCATCACTCTCTCTGCACTCTACCCTCGCACCCGACATTTGGGTCGACTCAAAAGTCAACTTGCCTCATCACCCTCTGCACCCTACCCTCGCACCCGACAACCCCCACTTCCCCCATACACTCCCCTTACTCCCCACTGCCATGTTTTCCCCCTTCCCAGCTCAACAACGTGGCATTTGTGCTGCTCATAATGGCATCACCACCAATCCTCCTCGCTTTGCTCTTCACGCCGCTCTTCCTCGCCCCCGGCTTCGCCTTCCCACCAGACAGCCCCGAGTTCGGTTCTTTCGACATCCACACATCCTGTCCTCTCTGGCCCACTCGCCCCGCTCCCTTTGCATCACTTTGAGACTTTCGTCTTCTCCACCCCCCTCTCCCCCCACCAGCTCAACAACGTGGCATTTGTGCTGCTCATAATGGCATCACCAGTCCTCCTCGCTTTGCTCTTCACACCACTCTTCCTGAGCCTCGCCTCGGGTTTCGCCTTCCCACCAGACAGCCCCGAGTTCGAATCCCTCGACCTCCACACTATCCTCTACAGCCCGCTCGCCCCACCTCTCGACCAATGGGAGCGCGCCAGCAGGGCGGGTCCGGTGGCGGTGGCGGCATGCTGGGTGTGTGCTGCGCTCATGCGTGCAGGGCAGTGGCTGTATGTCGCTCTGCACTTCTTCCTCTTCACGTGAGTGATTGTGTGTGTGCGTGCGTGCGTGTGTGTGTGTGTGTGTGTGTGTTTTCTCTTACAGTAATGCCCCATACATGAGTGTTGGTGCATGGCTGCATGACTGCATGGCTGCATGGCTGCATGGCTGCATGGCTGCATGGCTGCATGGCTGCATGGCTGCATGGCTGCATGGCTGCATGGCTGCATGGGTGCTTGGCTGCATGGGTGCATGGGTGCATGGGTGCATGGGTGCATGGGTGCATGGGTGCATGGGTGCTTGGCTGCATGGCTGCATGGGTGCTTGGCTGCATGGGTGCATGGGTGCATGGGTGCATGGGTGCATGGGTGCATGGGTGCTTGGCTGCATGGGTGCATGGGTGCATGGGTGCATGGGTGCATGGGTGCATGGGTGCATGGGTGCATGGGTGCTTGGCTGCATGGCTGCATGGGTGCATGGCTGCATGGGTGCTTGGCTGCATGGCTGCATGGCTGCATGGCTGCATGGCTGCATGGCTGCATGGCTGCATGGCTGCATGGATGCTTGGCTGCATGGCTGCATGGCTGCATGGCTGCATGGCTGCATGGCTGCATGGCTGCATGGCTGCATGGCTGCATGGCTGCATGGCTGCATGGCTGCATTAGTTTATCTGATACCCTTGTCGCCCACCGTCCACCTGCTCATTCCTTGCTAATCCCCTTTTTCCTCCCCTCTGTCTTCATTCTCTATTCTCCTTCCCATTCCTGCTTCTCCCTCTCCCCACCCCCCAGCCTCTCTCTCTGCACCACGTTCGCTGCTCTTTCCTTGCTCATCCCTTCTGCCCATCCCCTCCTTCCGTCTTCTTTGCTTATCCCCCTCTTCTCTCTCGTCCCGTCCCCCCCAGCCTCTCTCTCTGCACCACGTTCGGAGGATCGCCGCTGCAGGTGCTCTCGCCCCCTGCACTCGTGCTCTCCAATATTCTCACGCTGCTCGCACAGCTCAACTTCGTCTTCCTCAGCGGTGCAGGTGGGTGCCCGCTGGTGCAGGTGGGTGCTTCCTCACCGATGTGCGTCTCTGCACTCTGCTTACCCTGGCCTCCTCACTCTCACCTCCTCACTTTGACCTCCTTACTCTCACCTCCTCACTTTGACCTCCTCGCTCTCACCTCCTCACGCTGCTCTCGCAGCTCAGCTTTATCTTCCTCTCCAGAGTCTGCCTCTGCACTTTCTCACTCTGTCCCTCTTCTCGTTTCAACTCCTCTTTACTCCTCAGCACCCCCTTTTTGCTTCCTTCTACGTCGTTTCCTCTCCCCTCCCATGGCCACTGTTTGCTCCCATCACCCGCCCAGCAGAGACGGTGCGGTGTTCTCGCTTTTGAGACGTCTCAAAAGTCACTCATTCTCTGCTCTCCCCCTCTGCACCCCCACTGTTGTTCCCCCCTCCCCTCCCATGGCCAGTGTTTGCTCGTATCGGCCGGCCAGCAGAAACGGTGCAATGCTCTCGCTTCGTCACCCTTGCCACTCACTCACTTCTCTCCCCGTCTGCACCCCCACTGTTGTTCCAATCTCCCTTCCCATCACCAGTGTTTGCTCGCATCGGCCGCCCAGCAGAGACGGTGCGGTGCTCTCGCTTCGTCACAATTGCCACTCAGCCCTTGACCGGCCATGGCACGGAGAAGAGAAGGTCAGTGAAGGGCGTTTCTTGAGAATTCAGAAGAAAAAATTCAAAAGAATAACTTCAGAAGAATAACATGCAACGCTATGGCACGGAGAAGAAAATCTGGGTAGAAGAAGAGGTGATTAGAGGAGGAGGCGAGGAATGGAGGAGGGGTGGCGCCTTGGGGCAGAGGGAGGGTTACGGCTTTTAAGCTGTTGTGTTGTGCACTGTCAGTGTTCCTGTCTCCTCTACCCCCTGTCAACATATTCTTTCCCCCTCCTTCCCCTCGCACCCTCTCCTCCATCCGCGTCCCCCCTGCTGCTCTCTTGCATAGGCAAACTCCCTCACTCCTCTTGCTCTCTTGCTGGTGAACGTGCCTTTTCTTACTCGACTCAAAACTATTCTCAAAACTATCCTTCCTGCTTCCTCTCCACCAGTATTCAGGATTCTCACGGCACGGTTTGCCCTGGTGGGGCTGAACTCGCACGAGCTGGTGAACGTGCCTTTTTACCAGACTCAAAACCAACCTCCCTCCTCCCTCTCCCCCACTCGCTCACGTACGAACCACAGGATTCTCACGGCACGGTTTGCCCTGGTGGGGCTGAACTCGCACGAGCTGGTGAACGTGAAACTCGCCCTCTCGCTGCGCCTCTTCCTCCCATCCTCTTCCGGGGAGGTGCACTGCTGCCTGCACGACCTGCAGCTCGTCAAATCCGAGGTGGGTAGTGTTGCTGCCATTGGCTCTGCTCCTGCCCCTGCCACTGCCCCGGCCACTGACCCTGCCTCTGCCTCGCTCTTTTTACCTGTTCCCTCTCACCCCTTCCGGGGAGGTGCACTGCTGCCTGCACGACCTGCAGCTCGTCAAATCCGATGTGAGTAGTGTTGCTGACACTGACCCTGACACTGACCCTGCCACTGACCCTGCCACTCACTGACCCTGCCACTCACTGACCCTGCCACTGACCCTGCCTGCCTCTGCCTCACTCTCCTGACTTTTGATGCCACCCTTGTCCTCCTGCTCCCCACGTCTCCCCTTCCACCTTCCCAGCTGCCCTACATGCGCATTGGCTTCAATCTGCGGCACATAGTGGACGGCACGTAGTGGACGGCACGTAGTGGACGGCACGTAGTGGACGGCACGTAGTGGACGGCACGTAGTGGACGGCACGTAGTGGACGGCACGTAGTGGACGGCACGTAGTGGACGGCACGTAGTGGACGGCACGTAGTGGACGGCACGTAGTGGACGGCACGTAGTGGACGGCACGTAGTGGACGGCACGTAGTGGACGGCACGTAGTGGACGGCACGTAGTGGACGGCACGTAGTGGACGGCACGTAGTGGACGGCACGTAGTGGACGGCACGTAGTGGACGGCACGTAGTGGACGGCACGTAGTGGACGGCACGTAGTGGACGGCACGTAGTGGACGGCACGTAGTGGACGGCACGTAGTGGACGGCACGTAGTGGACGGCACGTAGTGGACGGCACGTAGTGGACGGCACGTAGTGGACGGCACGTAGTGGACGGCACGTAGTGGACGGCACGTAGTGGACGGCACGTAGTGGACGGCACGTAGTGGACGGCACGTAGTGGACGGCACGTAGTGGACGGCACGTAGTGGACGGCACGTAGTGGACGGCACGTAGTGGACGGCACGTAGTGGACGGCACGTAGTGGACGGCACGTAGTGGACGGCACGTAGTGGACGGCACGTAGTGGACGGCACGTAGTGGACGGCACGTAGTGGACGGCACGTAGTGGACGGCACGTAGTGGACGGCACGTAGTGGACGGCACGTAGTGGACGGCACGTAGTGGACGGCACGTAGTGGACGGCACGTAGTGGACGGCACGTAGTGGACGGCACGTAGTGGACGGCACGTAGTGGACGGCACGTAGTGGACGGCACGTAGTGGACGGCACGTAGTGGACGGCACGTAGTGGACGGCACGTAGTGGACGGCACGTAGTGGACGGCACGTAGTGGACGGCACGTAGTGGACGGCACGTAGTGGACGGCACGTAGTGGACGGCACGTAGTGGACGGCACGTAGTGGACGGCACGTAGTGGACGGCACGTAGTGGACGGCACGTAGTGGACGGCACGTAGTGGACGGCACGTAGTGGACGGCACGTAGTGGACGGCACGTAGTGGACGGCACGTAGTGGACGGCACGTAGTGGACGGCACGTAGTGGACGGCACGTAGTGGACGGCACGTAGTGGACGGCACAAGCCCTCTGCACGATCACACTCTCAATGACCCCCTACCATCCTGCTTCTCCCACCCTTGCCCTTCCCACTCCCCCCCATTCCCCCCCCGCCCACCTTCCCAGCTGCCCTACATGCGCTTTGGCTTCAATCTGCGGCACATAGTGGATGACTCTAGCCCCTTGCACGGCCTCTCACTCAGTGACCTGCTGGCAGCAGACGCCTCTCTCTCGCTCACCATATCCGGCCTTGAGCGCACCTCAATGCAGCCGGTCTTTGTGGTCAAGGTGAGTCAACGTGAGTCAATGGGAGTCAAGGTGAGCCCCCTGCACGACCTCTCACTCAGCGACCTGCTGGCAGCAGATGCCTCTCTCTCGCTCACCATATCCGGTCTTGAGCGCACCTCCATGCAACCGGTCTTTGTGGTCAAGGTGAGTCAACGCAGTCAAGGTGAGTCAACGCAGTCAAGGTGAGTCAACGCAGTCAAGGTGAGTAAATGTGAGTCACTTTTGAGTCTACTCATAAGCTGCTGGCTTCTCCCTCACCACCTCTCTGCCTCTATGCAGCCAGTCTCTGTGGTCAAGGTGTGTCAACGTGGTCAAAGTGAGTCACTGTGGTCTAGGTGAGTCAACATGGTCAAGGTGAGTCAACGTGGTCAAGGTGAGTCAACGTGGTCAAGGTGAGTCAACGTGGTCAAGGTGAGTCAACGTGGTCAAGGTGAGTCAACGTGGTCAAGGTGAGTCAACGTGGTCAAGGTGAGTCAACGTGGTCAAGGTGAGTCAACGTGGTCAAGGTGAGTCAACGTGGTCAAGGTGAGTCAACGTGGTCAAGGTGAGTCAACGTGGTCAAGGTGAGTCAACGTGGTCAAGGTGTTTCACTATGCATGCTCCCTGCACCCACTCCACTGCTGTTTTCTGCACCCCTCCATTCTCTGCACCCCTCTCCACTCGTGTTGCCTGCATTCTCTTCAATTTGTTGTTCTCTGCACACTGCAGGAATACTATACCTATAGTGGCGAGGTGCTGTGGGAAAACGAATTCCTACACCTCCCGTGTGTCTTGTCTTCTACCGCAACCATTCTCTATGCTCCCTGCACCCCTCTCCACTCCTGCACACCGTTGTTCACTGCAGGAGTACTACGCTTACGATGGCGAGGTGCTGTGGGACTATGAGTTTCTCGACCTAATGCGCATCTCATCCGATCTCGTTCCCACTCTAGAACACTCCCGATTGGATTCCGTGACACCTCTCAACACGCACAGCTGATGTGGCACATGTCGAATAGCAGACATTATTTGGCTAAGCATGCTCTATTGACAGCAGGCCTTATGCTCCGCAGTTCATCTGCATCTAGTTTGAACCCCTAAAAATAATGCTTTGTACGTTATGTTTTGATGATAGGTAAAATGTATAGATTATGTTATGCCCGATAAGGCAGCTACAATTCACTGAATACTACACCAATTCATAAGGCGTCTTGTTATTCACAAAGTCACGGTTCGATTCGATACCCGTAACAGGCGTTAGTGGTGCAGGTCGCGTTCCTTCCAATCCCTCACATCACAACCGCCATTTGTCCAAGCACCGATCGGTGTGCCTTACAAGCCTGCTACAACCGTGTTGCACCTAGAAGCACCACAGGAGCACACAAGGGAGATGTACGGTTGGTATGCGGGACAGGTCACAGCACAGAAGGGAGATGTACGGGAGGCATAACCCTTTCGAACCGCGCATTGCTCCCATACCATCGCATTTCATGTCGAGTCGCAGTGGCCCCCACCCCATACTTGCCCATGCGGTGAAAGTGTTGCGTCTGCCAGAGCCGCTTCGCGAGTCTGTTCATCATTTCTGGCGACCAAACTTAGAGCTGGCAGGAGGTTCACGAACACTCACGAGGCTATCGTTCTTCATGGCATCCCGATATATTTTGCGCGAAATCTGATTCTCCCTCCCGCCACAGCTCTTTCTTGAGCACACCACCACGATTTCCCACACGGACATTCCAACGCAACTATTCCAAATTCCACATTTTCTATGAACAGCGCAAGCCGCCAGAAGCCATATTGGGAGATAAGGACCCGACCGGGTTCTTCCATGGGACCCCACCTGCGCAACGCGAAAAAACCCAGTTATCCAAGTTCAAATACCACCGTTTGCATCTTCTCTCTCGTACTTGCTCGCTTCGCTCCAAACATCTCCACGCCTCTTCCCACCGTGTGTGCTCACTTCCGTGTGCCTACCACACGTGACTCCAAATCCATTCCTCTCACCCAGTAGCATTACAACCTTTTCCACTTGTCTCCGCGCCCACAGCATCAGCATGGCTTCGGGGCTCGCTTCTGTGTCCGCGCTTCTTCTTTTCGCCACGGCGCTGGCGTGCGTCGCGCGCGCCGCGACGGCCGCGAAGATTTCGCAGATGTACGTTTTCGGCGACGAGTCGGCGGACGTCGGAAACGCGAATTACTTCACCCGCGCGACCGTGAAGGCAAACAAGCTGCCGTACGGCGTCAACTTCAAGCCCGCGTCGGGCCGCTTCTCCGACGGAAAGCTCGTCGTTGACTATCTCGGTGCGTCTTCTGCTGGTTACAGTACTAGATTCCTGATGCGGGACATCATTTGTTTTCACCGTTCTTCTGTGCTCAATCATCGCAGTTTTCAAAACGGCCATGCTTTTGAAGCCATTTCAACCAGGTTGATTCTCCTCTCCCTCCCTTTTCTTTCCTTTCGACAGCCGACTTCCTCGTGATTCCCTCGCCGCGCGCCGATCTCGCGCCCCGCAATGCGTCGCTTCCTTTTAGCGGAATCGACTTCGCCATTGCTGGAGCCGGCGCTAAATCCGGCACCAACGCCGGCAAGGTACCTCCCTCATCTTTTAGCGTCAGGCTCTCCCCTTGTCGCTTAGATTAAAGCACGGCATCACCTCGCGTCGTACCCTTGTTTTCCACACTAACCGGTCAGCAAATGTGAGATTCGATTCGAACGTCCAGCAATCTAACCGCCGTCCGTCTTCTCGCCGCTTCCATTTCTCGCCGTTTCCCTTTCGCATGGCGGCAGACGCGCGGGCTGCAGCAGCAATTCAACGAGTTCAAGAAGTGGTTCAACGAGGCCAAGCGCACCAACAACCCAGACCTCGTAAGCTTTCTGAGCGACGCCTTACTCTCGCCCCTCCCACTCATCTTCGTCTGTATCCCCCTCTTCAAATCCCCTCCAGCTTCATTTCCTTTCCCTTTTTTTTCCGCTGATTTTCCTCTCGCATTCTATCCCAATTTTCCTTCGACGATTCTTTAACCTCTTTTCCATTTTTACTTCTGTGTCGCAGAAGCTAGACGAGGCGCTGTTCGTGATCAGCATCGGTGCCAATGACTACATTCCAGAGCTGAGCCACGCGCAGCCCAACATGACGACCCTCGTCGCCATAGCTTCCTCTGTTTCCAACACCATTATCAACATCACCCAGTCTCTCTACAACCTCACCGGCTCCTCTAACATTCTCATTATCGATCTGCCGAACCTCGGCTGCACTCCTGTCGTGCGCCATGCGGCGAAATCCGGAATCAACTGCACGGACGCAGGTAACCAGGTTACCATAATTCATAATTTCGCGCTGCTGACGAAGACGGACAAGCTGAGGAACAACCCGGCCCTGCCCATGCCAAACCTGGTGCTCTTCAAGCAATCATCTGTCTTCAAGACCATGATCCAAGTCCCCACCTCTGGTAAGACCCCATGTTCTGTTCTTGCCCATGTTCTCTTCTTGCCCATTATGTGTCTTCACAACGTGGAGTGATGCACTCAACATCCCTTAATCCTGCAACAACCCACCCCTCCCTTCCCCCACCAGGGCTGACGAATCAAACGCACCCGTGCTGCGAGGCCATGACAAGCACGGGGGTGGTAGTGCCGTGTGCGCAGACCAGCGGAACCGGCAAGGCAGCTGTCACGGCAGGGGCGTGTGCGGCGCCTGGCAAGACCCTGTGGTGGGACGAGCACAACCCCACGCAGGCCGTGAACCAGAAGGTGGCCAACACGCTCTTCTTCTCCACCAACCCCGCCATGGTCCGCCCCAACGGCCTCCGCAAGTTCTACTCGCTGTAAAAGTCAAAGGATGCAACATTTACACACTCTGCGCGGAGTTATTGGGCCGTCGCTTTCTTACTACTTGTTACCACCATTTTTCTGTGGGATGCTATGAGTGGGGTGGATAGAGAATTTGTTTCTCGAGCTGTGCTCCTCTCCACCTGGGTGGCGTAGGCCTGTGGGCCTTTTTGTCACCTAGCGTGAAATAAGGCCTCTGGCAAGGACACAGGCTGCAGCTGTCTTGTACTATTTCTTTATCCATTCCGCAACAATGTCTTTTGAAATTACGGTACATCGTTCCGGCCAGAAAATTCATGCGTGCAATCATTGCACTGCAATGAATCTGGATGTCCTCAAGATCAGATCAGAGGCTCTGAAAGAGCCAAACACCATTCTCCAGTTGCCGCACTGAGGACTCTGGTCTGGTCTTGTCAGGGATCCCATCCCATCCTCTTCCCCACTAGCGCGAGTTAGTGGTTAGCAACTTAGTGTCAACTGCATGCTTGCTGTTGCTGCCCTACCTACCAGCAACCTTTCTTCTGCCTATCACTGTGCCACGGAGCAAGTGCCTGAGAAAAAACATCATCCTTTGAAGTCTGCTAGAGTCAGAGAAAGCCACACTACTCACAAGTTATTATGAGCTCCTAGCACCATACATTCCTGACAATTCTCACAAGGCCTTGCTGCCCAGTGGTACTACTCCAAGGAATTGATAACGTGCCTACTGAATGCACCACCCTATGAGCCCTACATTCAACAAGCTCCTCCCTTTGAGGAGTGCCAGGATTGCAAAGGAGCACCAAACGGTGCCAAGGAGTGCCCGGGAGTGCTGTGACGAAGAGACTTAGCGAACTATTCAAAGATACGAGTGAAGAGGAGGTAGGAGTCAGGAGTCATCCGAGTCAGGGCCCGTGAGGTGGAGAGGAGTGAAGGGAGATGAAGAAAGGTGAAGAGGCGGTTAGAGTCAGGAGTCGTCAGAATCAGGGCCGGTGTTGAAGGTCTTGATGAGATGCTTGAGTTCGTCCCGCACTGCCGTGTAGCAGAAGCGGTACTGCTCCTGTTGGGTGAGGTGGAGAGGGGTGAAGGAAGGTGGAAAGAGGTAAAGAGGAGTTCAAGTCAGGAGTCATTGGAGTCAGGGCCAGTGTTGAAGGTCTTGATGAGATGCTTGAGCTCATCCTGCACTGCGGTGTAGCAGAAGCGGTACTGCTCC